ACCTGCTTATCCACTTATCTGAATACGGTTGATTACTTTTGATTGTGTATACACACACACACACATGCACACACCTATCCATCTATCTATACATCCACACATTCAGCCAGTCAACCTAACTTGTCTGTCTTTAAGCTGTGATTCATGCCTGTGTAGATCATTTGCTGTGCTATCGTTCAGGCTGGTCTTTTCTAGCCTGAGTACAAAATGTAGCTTTTGTTTTATCACAGGCTCCATCAATAGCTCTGCTAAATTATGTGAAGGATTGAGACGTTAATTATTCTGTTTGTGTTTGGACTTTTGTAGATGATCTCTATAGGCAGCTTGTTATGCTAGCATGGGTGACCTCATTTTAGGGGAGTACATTTAGCAGTTGTTTAAATATTTTAGCCTGGACTAAAAAGGTCATCAACTAACTTTGTTCTGCTAATGATACTGCTAATGCTTTTAATCAGAAAAATGATGATCAAAGCCATAGGAATGTGGCTGTAGTCTGTTTGATGCTTCTGTGCTAGAGACACAAAGATTTTCCATACAGAATATGCTCGTTCCTAACTGTTAATGATGTGTCCTCCCAGCTTCTCCTGGTGCACGTCTCGCATGGACCGAAACATGATCACTGTGATGACGGGACAGCCAGTCGACTTCTTTGACCGGGACTTCCGTGAGCTGTATGCCATCTCTGAGAAAATGAACCTCTACAAAGAGTTTCACGTCAGCCCTCCTGCTGCCCAGGTGGCCTCCACAGTTCGCTCTAAACCGAGTACCAAACGCCCGCCATTAGCAGCAACCACATCCCGCTTCCAGGTTAGCTTAGGGGATTCACGGAATAATGAAATCCAGGTCCCAGCACACAAATATTACAACCCTAAATACGCACTAGCGTTTGGGGATACTCCCCGTCCAACAGGATCTCTGCGCGAACCCAAGAGGGGTTCAGGTTTGGCTGAGGTTCCCGAGGAGAAAGATTCGGGGAGCCCACGGTTGGCCAGCAGCGAGAAGATGGATCGATTGAGTCCGCTGCCGGCAGAATCCCCAGGCGAAAGCTTCAAGAGGACAAATGGAGTCAAGTCAGACGTAAAAAGCCGTCCCACACTAAGGCAGAAACTTTTTAAGAGGAAATCCCAGAATAAACTTCCTGTTAACACAGAACCTGTACCCCCAGAAACTAAACAGGATGAGGAGAATGAGGATAACTGCGAAGTGGTTGTGTTATCTCCATCCAAAGTTAGTAAGAAGCAGTCGAGACTGGGACGGAAGTTTATGTCTGAGCAAACTGTCAATGCCTCACATGACAATATGAGTAAGTCACGAATATTAGCTTGTATATGAAGATTTAATCTGCAATGAACACATTTTAATCCAATGAATTATAACCTGTAATCTAACCTGAGCGATGTGAAGAGGTCTGTAATGTAATCATTTCTCTATTTTCTTTTTCCTGACAGGTTTAAAAAGTCAACATAAAGGAAGATGTAAAGTGAGCTGAAGCTGCCCATCTCCACAGAAGAGTCACACAATGACTTTAGTCACATGAACATTAACATCACGTTTGATTGTGCTGACGAATTTTACCCAGCGTCTCACAGAGAGACAAGATAAAATCATTTTGTTGTTTGGTGCCAAATGTCCAATAAATGAGTTTTAAGTTTTATATGATATGTTAGAATGCAGATTGGGTTAATAAGAGATTTTGTTATGAGCACTTTCATCGTGTTTTGCTTTGAACATTGTTATTTTCCAGGTTCTTCTCTTCTGGACACTGAATGTACAGTTTTAAGGTGGATCAAAGTGAGAAGCTTGTCTGTCAAAGAGTGAAAGAAATCATCGAAGTTGTCAAAAGTTGTCTTTACATTCCAAATGTAACACAGCGGAAAATTTAAATCCCACCAGATGTGGGGCTATTTGTCGCTCTTAACCACACACATTCACCTCAGCCATGCGCTACGAAGCGAGTTTAGCATAACCATGGTGTCTTTCCATTACATCCACTCACCCTTAAATCGGTAACCAAGATATGCTTTCACATGAACGTTTGCATGAAGGTGTTGGTGCTGACAGCATCTCACCAATCAGATGGATAAGTAATGGCAACACAGTTAAGCACATGATAGAGGCTCAAAGCAGCACAGCTGCTACAGACAAAGCAGCAGTGTGATCATGTGTTAAATGAAAAGCTGTGTACAGTAGTTCAGTATTAAATGTTCTGTGTGGACGTTTGTGTGCTTGAAATAGTTCAGTGTAAGTGGAAGAGAGCTGCAGTATTAATAAAGTTTAGCCTGTTTGAATCAAGGAAGGAAAACTGGCACCAGTGCGAGTTAACATACAAGTATCACAGCTCTCATTAGGTTAGTCTGATTAAATAAATATAAAATCAGAAGTCAAACTCAGACTTTGACTACATGCAGCGTCCACTACAAATAGGTAGCACAGTAAAATAGTTGTCAAAATGTTTGCAACCAACACAAAAAACAAACAAAAAACCCCCCAAGGAATAAAGTTTTGCTTAATAATCTATATTTCATACTGCGTTTTGGGGAAACTGAAAAACGTCAGACACTCCTACAGTCCATGCACAGATGCTCCACAGGATCTTCCAGGAAATATGGAACAAATTGGTCAGAAAGCGGTGATTTCATACCTGTAATAATCTCTAATCCAGCTGCAAGTTAGGTTAGGTTACTCTGGCAGTATACCCCAGTAAGAAGAGAAGCATTTTCATAGTACAGAAAACCCAGGATGGACACTGAACCTATGAAATCCTGCTTCAAATGCAGGCCACAGTTCAGATTGATAGCCACTCATGGTCAGCAGGATATTATTAGACAGTGAATGAGTTTAGGCCCAGATTACAGTTTAAATATTATACTACTTACATACTTTTTGTTTTATGTTGCAACTCTATAATAAATATAGCCTTTTATTCAGTTCTTGAAGTGAGGAAATTGTCATGTGAAGAAGAAAAAGCATAAAAATGTTCATAAGTAAAAATCTCTGAACGACTGCCAGGCATAAATTTGAGTGCAGCTCCCTCTAGTGGTGATGCGCAGGTACTAGTCTATAATTTGTCCTTTCAAAGTCTGAACCGTGAAATAATTGCCAGAAAATTGTTTTTATTTTTTTTGCAAATGCAGAAAATGAGTGTTTATTGAGCCTTCTGAAAAAATAAAAATATTTCCATACAATATTTTTGCTACATCTGCAATTTATTTTTTTAATTTTGTATACATATATCCATATACATCCATAAATTATTGCTGTTGTTGCAGTTTATGACTTATAAATGATGCAGAAGTTTGAAAAACTCACAAAAAGTCATCTACAAAATATGATACACTTGCTACAGGGTTAGGATGAGGGGGCAAAAACTAGTGACTGTATTACATAACCCGTCCGCTGGGTGCCGCCATTGCTTCTCCCTCTGGTTCTCTTATCGGTTAGCATTTGCTAACCACTCGGAAAGAAAAAAAGAGGAACCACAGGCCTGATGACAAACTCGGGGCTGAGTTGAGGGTAGTGTGAGGGAGGTTAGGTTCGGGGTGGGGGTGGGAGGGTTGATGGTTGGTGTAACACTAAAAGCAGTAAAACAGGAAGTCAAGGCTGCAGCAGGAAGAGGTGTTCTCGCACACTTTGTGTGTTGCCAGTGCACAAGGATGAAAATACATTGTTTCCTGTCACTTGTGTATTCATGCTTCCTTTAAAGCCCTTCGTGTTTATTTGTTTTCAACAGACATTTAGACACTTCAGTCCATTCAGGTGTGCAGATTTAGAGTGCTGCTTTTGTGCATTTTGCCTTGAGCACGAGGCTGATGTTCATAGTTTGATGTAAACATAAATGTTTGATTTACTCAGTACAAAGATTGAAGAGATGCACGTTATCATAACCATAACAACAAGTCTAAATATGACGTTCTGTATATTCATTATGTTATCTCAATTACTGATGAAGCAGTAACCATTAATTGTTGAGTTTTCTACAATCACTAATAATTAATTAAAGACAAACTCATGATCATAATCACACCAAAATTCATTCCTGTCATTACTTAGCCTTCACTGTGAACCAAAGCCTTGGCTATGAAGTCAAAATGCACCTGTTGGTTTAAGCATATGAGTACAACACAAATAATATTATGTTGTAAACATAATAAACATTTCCACATTCTATAGGTATAATCTATATGTTAGCTTTTAATGATAAATTTTTAAGTACTAATCTGAATTGTTTCCAGTTTTACTCTGGACTATGATGCTCACAGACGATGCTGTGATCTGAAAGTGAGCGTAGGGAGCAGGTGGAATGGTAAATTTTTATATAGCACCTTAAAACTCAAAGCACTTTATACAACATGCCTTATTCACCCACTTTTTCATATGCTTAAGTTCTGGCTGTCTAACATTCATGCATATTCATACTCTGATGAATGCACCAGAGAGCGACTTAGGGTTCAGTATCTTGCACAAGGATGCTTTGAAATGCATACTGGAGCAGCCAGGGGTACTATTAGCAGATGACCTGCTTTACTTCCTGAGCTACAGCCACCCCAGAGCGAACCTGGTTGTATGCTGTGCAGAAAAAAGAAATGAAAGTCAGCAGACGTGAGACAGAATACATGTGTGTGAGAAGACCTGGTGTAACAGTGAAGCTGCAATGAAGAGAAAAGGTTTAAATGCATTGGGTTGACCATTCAAATCAATGGACAGTGCCCAAGAGAGGTGAAGAAGAGCGTGTAGGCAGGGTGGAATGGGTGGAGACAAGGGTCAGGGGTCATTTATGAAGGAAATATAGCAGCAAGGAGGATTTTGACAAAATTCTCACACAGGTTCCTAAACCTCTGTACGCGACAAGCCTGCCACATCAAACCACAGAGGTGGTTTTGAAGCTTCACCCAAGGATGTAAACCAAACATATCTGCATACAAAATAAATATGAGGAAGTAAGGTGTGGCTGAATGGTTTCAGTGCGTATTCAACCGAAAACACAGCTGTCAAGATCAAAGTATGAAAACAAAATCCTCCTTTTTAATACAAACGCACCGATAAACACTTTTTTTTGATTAAATAATCATTTTGTGAGAGCATAAAAAATACAGTCCTCACAGTGATCAAACATATGCAGTATACAGACTGACTCAAAACACAATGAATGGTTAAATGATTTCTATTTACACAGTAAATTTGTTACAAAGCGGATATAATATGCATGTTCCTATTGCACTGTCCTTTCAATTTACATGACAAAAACATATTAACATACATTTGATGTGACTGTATAAGATCCAAACAACTGAAAAACATATTTACATACGTGAAAATGATTCTGTACAAACTACACACTTCAACGGGTCACTGAGATAACACAACCAATGGATTTGCAGTAAAACTTAAAGCTGTCCACCAGACAGAAATAAAATCACTCTATAAATGTCCGCTTCTGAGCACTATGAGAACTGAGTTGAGTAAGACGCTGTGCCCTACATGCGCCTTTTAATAGCATTCAAGGAACTGCTGAGACATCACATGTTTAATTTTTCTTCCTTAGCTGAGATACTTGGTTAGGTGTAAATAAAACCAAAAGAATCATCTTCTCACTGCAGAGAGGAAAACAAGTGCAGTAAACACACACTGTCAAATGTGTTAACCTAAACCGACATATCTCCTCGTGTGGGCCCAGAGAATTTGTTGCCAAGCGCTCCTTTGCCCGCCGTGCTGATGCCATGAACAACACAAATGAGTCATTTTTTCACCCCTGACACTGTGTTTCTCAGTCTATGAAAGGAGAAGTGGAAAGGGAAGTCTCTTTTTTAGTCTAAACCACCACCGTCAGTGTGTTTCTGAAGCCTCCATTGCCCTTTTGTTGCAGGGTGGTTAAAATGATTTTCAAAAGAAATTACAATCCACAGTGCACGGTGGAGTGAGCTGAACATTCACGAGGTCGGATCCTGCTCTCCTGAGTCCTGGGAAGTTTGGTGTATCACCTTTTTCTTACGGACTGAGACCAAGTCGTAGAACGGATCCTTGGTGATACTTGCCCTATTTGAAGATAAACAACAGGCTGACATTAGCTTATAGGAGGTTAACAAAAGCTTATAAAACAATATACAGTTAAATAACAATACATAACTATGTATTGCTCTTGGCTTATTGAAGAACACATTTTCCATAGGCATTCGGATTAATCCTGGTATAGGCAGAAGTTTATTATTTCAGTGGTTTGAAGCAGTGTCCTCAGTGCTAATGCTGCTGTTCCAAAATGCACCAGGGTGCTGATTTCAAACTAAAGCTACATGAGTCAGACATATAACGCTGGCACTAGTGAACAAAGACATGCATCTTCCATTAGAGAGACTCTCTCCGAAACTGCTGAAAACCAAAATTATAGCTAAAAGAAGAGTCATCAACAAGCATGACTGCAACCAAGTACTAGTGGTTAGAGTGGGAGACTGATCCAAATACCAGCAGAACTTTATAATAATGTCTATTTAGCGTTATTGAGGTATAAGCAAGTGCTTAATACATCAGTTATACATCATTATTCCTCTTTATTATTATGAGTAATGATTATGATTATTACTGGGAATAATAGCTGTACATAGTTACATGGTGTAACAATAACACATGGATAAATAAACAAATCTGTAATGACATACTAAGGAGGAGTAATGATATATAAATGACGAATTAAGCACTTGCTAATATCTTACTTACACCTTACAAATGCTTAATATTGAGACATTTTAACAAAGTGCTATGAAAACTGTCTGAAACTTTTAATGTTGACTGTCAAATCTATTTTATTTACAGCCTACATGAATACATGAAAAGCTGAAAAAGTGTGATTTCTTATCTTAATTATTATGAGAAGTAAAAATCACAGTGACGTATTGGCCGTTAAAATGTGTTCAGTATCAGAAATTGGTGATGATTCTTCTCATAAGTGATACTGCACTCCTCTTGCCTACATAAGCTGCCTTTAGTGTTGCTCTTAGTATCTGCAATAGTGGCCCTCTAGATACTTGGTGTCAGATCAATAACAAAAGTATTGCACAGCATTAATACTAATCCTTTGTGTGCTTGTGTTGTACTTGCAGCGCTGCCTCTAAATAGCCAGGAACCAAATGTGTGTTTTCTCAACAACTTTGTTAGCAAATAATGAGATAAGACTGGCTGTTTTGTGAACATCCGGTGTGAGTAGCCGAACATATTAAGCTTCATTGACCTAATTGAAAGAAGTGC